CCTCTACCTCCTTCCCTCCCTCCCTCCCTCTCCCTCCCTCCCTCCCTGAGAAGCTGTCAGGTTTGCTCAGCTGTCGTTCCGAGAAACCACTACTTAAAAGGGTTTAATTCCAAGAGCAGGATCGAGGCGACGGCCCTTATAACGAGGCCGGACCAGGGACTCGACCCGGAAAGAGGTGCCTGGTCCAGTGAACGATTTTTATTGTTGTTATTATTATTATTATTATTATTTTGTTATTGTTGTTGTTGTTATTATTATTATTATTATTATTATTATTTTTGTTATTGTTGTTGTTGTTATTATTATTATTATTATTATTTTTGTTATTGTTGTTGTTATTATTATTATTATTATTTTTGTTATTGTTGTTGTTATTATTATTATTATTGTTATTATTGTTATTATTTTTATTATTATTATTATTATTGTTATTGTTATTATTTTATTATTATTATTATTATGATTTATTTATTTATTTTTTATTATATTATTATTTTTTTTAAGGGTTGGGTTTTTTTATGGGGGTGAGGGGGGAGGTGAGTGAGGTTGGGGGAATTGGGAAGGGGGGGAAGGGGGAAGGTTGGGAGGTTGAGGGAGAGAAGGAGGGGGGGATGGGGGGAAGGTTGGGGGTGAGAGGAGTGATGGGGGGTGAGTTTTTATTCCAGTGTTGGGGGTAAAAGAGGTAAAGGGATTCAGGTAAGGGGAAAATAAGGGAGAAAAGGTGGGGTTAGAGAGAGGGGTGAGGGGGTCCAGATAGGGTAGGGGGGTGGGGTGGGGATGTATGAGGAAAGATAAAGGAAGGAAAAGTAAAGAAGGAAACTACTCAATACGCGAGGGAGACGAAGGAACGAAGATAAGGGAATGGGGAAGAGGTGAGGTTGGGGGGGAGACGGAAGCGAGGAAAATAGATGGGTCAGGCTTGCATTATATATTCGATCAATTAAAGATCCGGTTATCAAAGAGAGTAAGTTGCATCGAGTTCAAGGTTTCTCAGGCCATGCGTAGGAAACGATAAAATTGAGGATAAAGAAGAAGAAGAGAAGAGAAGAGAGGAGAGAAAAGAAGAGAAGAGAAGAAGATAATAAAAAGAAGATAAAGAAGAAGGGGAGAGGAGAAGAGAGGAGAGAAGAAGAGAAGAGGAGAGGAGAGGAGAAGATAATGAAAAGAAAAAAGTAGTGAAGGTTTGGTTTAATAAAATGTGGAGAAAGAAAAGTAAGACTTAACAAAACGCTGATAAAAAGACTCAAGGTTTAATTAAAATATTTAGAGAGGAAGGCCAGGTTTAACAAAACGTTTAGAAAGAATGAGAAAGGAATATGGAAAGAGAAGAAAATATAGGGATTGCATAATTGTTGCAAATTATATTAGATCTGAACGACGGAAGAGGGAGAGAAGGAGAGAATCGAGGAATTGGAAAGTGAGAGAGGGAAGGAGGAAAGGAAGAAGAGAGAGAGGGGGGGAGAGAGAGAGAGAGGGGGGAGAGAGAGAGAGAGAGAGAGAGAGAGAGAGAGAGAGAGAGAGAGAGAGAGAGAGAGAGAGAGAGAGAGAGGAAAGAATAAGGAGGGGAGAAGAGGGAGATAGGAAGTGAGGGAGATAGGGAGATCGGGAGAGAAGAAAGAAGGGAGGGAAGAAAAGAGGGAAAGAAGAAAAGGAGAAAGAGAAAGAGGGAGGGAAATAAAATAAAAAATATAAGAAAAGAAAGAAAACAAGGAAAATAAAAAGATAGAAAGGGGGGGAAAGAAGGAAGAAAGAGGGAAAAAAAGAGAGAAAGGAATGAGATAAAAAAAAAGAAAGAAAGAAGGAGAAAGAAGAAAGAAAAGAAAAGAGAGGGAGGAGAAGGAGGAGGAAGAGATGAGAAGAACAGACGGACTCGGACCTTCCCGAGATTTAAGAGCATCGAAAACCGATCGTCGGGGATTCAGTTAGCTCGTCGTCTCCTGTTGACTCGGGAGGCCTTCGAGATGTTGGCCGAAGGAGGGAGGGAGGGGGGGAAGGAGGGTGAGGGACAGGGAGGGAGGAAGGGGAGGAGGGGGGGAAGGAGGGAAAGGGAGGGAAGGAGGGGGAGGGGTGAGGGATGAGGCAGGGATGGGAGGATGTGGAGGGGGAGGAGAGGGGGAGGGGGGAGGCAGGGAAGAAGGTTAAGGGACTATGAGGAAAGGAAGGGTTGAGGGAGGGAAGGAGGGAGGGTGAGAAGAGAGGAGGGGGGGGAGGAGATGTTTCGAGGGCTGAAGGAAAGAAGGGAAGAAAGATGGAAGGGGGTGAGGGTGAGGGAGGGCAGAGGAGGGAAGGAAAGAGTTGGGTAAGGTACGGGGAAGGGGAGGGGGAGGGGGAGGGTAGAGAAGGGAAGGGAGGAGTGGAGGGACGGTGGAAGAAAAGAAGGAAGGAAGGATAGAAGGAAGAAGGGATTAGGAAGTAAGGAGGTTCCTCCTCCTCCTCCTCCTCCTCCTCCTCCTCTTCTTCTTCTTCCTCTTCTTCCTCTCCTTCTTTATCCTGGGTCTCT